TGGAAACGGGTTTCCAGATTGGGCGGGGTCGTCACAGTTCCATAGGCATATATAGGTTCCTACTGTCCAGTAGAATTCGGCGGGTGAAGTTCAGATCCTTTGGCATTAACAGTTTCAACTAAACTCTTGACCTTCGTTGTCAGTTCGGCAGTAGTGTCCCTAGTGATCCTTTGGAATTTAGTTTGGACAGAGAGAATGAAAAATATTTTCTCAACATATTCTTTTTATTCCAGAAGGACAAATTGGCTACTTATTATTTCTTCTAACAACTGCATTTATATTCTTCCCGAGGTTCTTAGCTTCCCTCTGAGCTCAGGAGACAGCTTGGTGATTCTGTAGTTACCTTGAGTCATTTCTCCTTCAGCCAAAAGTTCTACTTGCAAAGTATCCTCGGTGGAAGCCTTCCATTGTGTCTCAAGGTGGAAGATGACGCCCGGCTTGCTCTCCAACGTCACTTTCGGGGCCATCTCACTTGGACTGGACCGAATGTGACAGTCCTTGGTGAGGATGATTCCGTTGAGATTGAGGAAGCCATCTCTGGATCCAAAGACGTCATTGTTTATGGTACTTGTCTCGACATTTTGGCGATGTTGGTCTGCAAGTTCGCCGTGCCATCGGTCGATGGAGGTCCGGAGGCTGTTGTAGAGGCTGGCTTCCATCCAATGGTCTGCATCATGATACAGCTGCGTCTTGAATACACTCATCTCATTTTCAGTTTGGTGAATCTGATGTCGAATTAAACCTTATCAATACTTTACAATGAGGGCTTGTATGTGTGAGTACTCACCGAGTTGTGCTTGCGGGGGTTGAGCTGCGGCTCTTTGGTTCTGCCTCTCAACTGTCACTATACTGGTGTACAGGTTCCTGAGCTTCTTGATCTCTATCATATATGCATTTGAAACTGTATATGGAGTCTGCCTCCACCACATTACTTATTAATGCAGTCAATCTACTAACTATTCTGACACTTAAAAAGTTCATTCTAATGTCACTGTGGCTCATTTGGGTACTCAGCTTCCACCTGTGTCCCTAAATAAATAAATGTGTTAAATAATCCGTCCTTATCTACTCTGAAGTTATTAATGGTTGACCAGTCCAGCAACGAGGAGGCCTGGTTAAGGACCGGGTCGCAGGGACGCTAAACCCCGAAATCATCGCAAGCTAAGGTAACCTTTTCAATTTCCCTGAGAATTTTGTATGTGGTAATCGTGTCTCTCTGAACTTTTTTGTCTTCCAGCGACTTTCACTATTTTCAAGATGCCTTGATTGTCTGGATGGACAGAGACTATTCAGCCTCTGAGACTATGGCCACTCTGAGCATAGTCCATCCAGAAGAACATCATCAGGCTTTAGTTTGATCTTATTGTAGGAGTGATTTGCCCCCATTGTGATACTTCCTCAGAGCAATTAGGTATTCTCGAGTCCAAAGTTCATTCCACCGACTTATTGTTCATGGCAGGTGTTTTAAGCTCTGCACTAAGTCACTCTCTCTGACATACGAAGGATCTTCTGTTCCCTCATCTTTAAAGGATGCTAGAGGTTTAGCATTCTGTGTAATCCGGCAGATTACACAGGATTTTATTATAGATTTTACAGTCTGGCGACCCTGACGAAGCCAGAACTGCTGTCTTAGGTCAGTGAGGGTATCAGATCCGCTCCATGTAAAAGATCCGCTCCATGTAAAATGCAGCATTCGTGTACATATAGCACAATTATTCTCCTTACTGGGTGGTCAAACCAGAGGCCCAGATCATGCGCTAACCATAGTAAGGCTGGCTTAGCTCACGAGGAAGGTGTCTAGCCATATTAAGACTAGCTTAGCTGGCTTGGCAAGTGGGAGGGTTACCACCAGTTTAAGAGTCGGAGTTTACTTTTGTGTTGATCTGAAGAGAAAATAAGAGAAAGTTCACAGGAAAGTCTGATAACTGTAGACCTATTGGCCCACGGCTCTTATCAGCCACGGAGGAGAAAGACTGCTTTCTACTGTTATCTCTAATATGACTGAGGCCGGGACAGCAGAGAGAGAGAGAAAGACATATTCCACTCAGTATTAACTTAAGGTTTGGACCTGAATGTAGGTATCCGAGCCTCCATTAACTCTCACTTCTCCTTGTCTCTCAATCCCTCACTCCTGCTCTTTCTCAGCCACAAACACGGTATCACGCCATTCCTCACTCTCTCACGCACTATACTATACTCTCTCACTCTGCAACACACTATCTCCCACTTTCACTCCCTCACATGCTATATCCTCTCTTAATTTAATTTTATGTCTGCCATCCTCCCTCCCTCCCTACCTCCATTACTCCTCCCCCTCTATCCCTCTTTACCTCAATCCCACCCTCATTCCCTCCCTCCCTCCCTCCCCCCTTCATCCCTCCATACCTCACTCCCTCCCTCCAATACTTTTTTTCTCCATCTCTCACAGCCGCTCGAGGTCACAAAGAATTACGTCACAGAAATTCTCTACACAATATACCCAGTAACCTGTCTGTGGGTTGCATCCTTCATCCTTCTTTCTCCCCATCTATACCTTGTACCACTACGTCAGTTATGCTCCATCTACACCTTGTACCACTACATCAGTTATGCTCCATCTACACCTTGTACCACTACGTCAGTTATGCTCCATCTACACCTTGTACCACTACGTCAGTTATGCTCCATCTACATCTTGTACCACTACATCAGTTATGCTCCATCTACACCTTGTACCACTACGTCAGTTATGCTCCATCTACACCTTGTACCACTACATCAGTTATGCTCCATCTACACCTTGTACCACTACATCAGTTATGCTCCATCTACACCCTGTACCACTACGTCAGTTATGCTCCATCTACACCTTGTACCACTACATCAGTTATGCTCCATCTACACCTTGTACCACTACGTCAGTTATGCTCCATCTACACCTTGTACCACTACATCAGTTATGCTCCATCTACACCTTGTACCACTACCTCAGTTATGCTCCATCTACACCTTGTACCACTACATCAGTTATGCTCCATCTACACCTTGTACCACTACCCCAGCTATGTTCCATCTACACCTTGTACCACTACCTCAGCTATGTTCCATCTACACCATCTACCCCAGCTATGTTCCATCAACACCTAGTACCACTACCCCAGCTATGTTCCATCTACACCTTGTACCACTACCCCAGCTATGTTCCATCTACACCTTGTACCACTACCCCAGCTATGTTCCATCAACACCTAGTACCACTACCCCAGCTATGATCCATCTACACCTTGTACCACTACCCCAGCTATGCTCCATCTACACCTTGTACCACTACCTCAGCTATGCTCCATCTACACCTTGTACCACTACCCCAGCTATGTTCCATCAACACCTTGTACCACTACCTCAGCTATGCTCCATCTACACCTTGTACCACTATTCCAGCTCTGATCCATCTACACCTTGTACCACTACCCCAGCTATGATCCATCAACACCTTGTACCACTACCCGAGCTATGCTCCATCTACACCTTGTACCACAATCCCAGATATGTTCCATCAACGCCTAGTACCACTACCCCATCTATGCTCCATCAACACCTTGTACCACTACCCCCAACTATGCTCCATCAACGCCTAGTACCACTACCCCCAACTATGCTCCATCAACACCTTGTACCACTACCCCCAACTATGCTCCATCAACACCTTGTACCACTACCCCCAACTATGCTCCATCAACACCTTGTACCACTACCTCCAACTATGCTCCATCAACACCTTGTACCACTACCCCAGCTATGCTCCATCAACACCTTGTACCACTACCCCCAACTATGCTCCATCAACTCACAAGTGCAATTGTATCTTCCGATGCGGACCCTGTCACCAGGTGAAGGCATTTAAGGAAAGTCTTTGGAAGATAATGATCCTTGAGTCTATCGGCCATTTGTTCTCTATGACGGCTTATCTTGAAGACCCGTAATTGTGGGGAGGGAGAGAGAGAGAAGAGGGGTGGGAGAGAAGAGGGGTGGAAGAGAGGGGAGAGGGTGGAAGAGAGGGCAGGGGTGTAGAAGTGGATGTAAAATGGGCGGAATGTTTCTCTTTGTCTGGCTATCTGGCTGAGTGGGCGGGCCGCCCCGGGCCAGTGAGCGCGCCACCAGACGCTATGGACTCTCACTGCTCAGTGCTAAAGCAACTTTTGCGCAATTTTAACCTTTCGTTTGAACATTTTCGTCTGCTTTTTTTACATTAAGTAACACCTTTGACGTCAGAGACTTTGGGTAATTATTATTTGACCTTGTCATTCTTCGAGTTATGTTTATCTCTTTTTCCCACTGGATACGAGTGATACCCTTCCCACTTTTGTAGCACCTCTTACCCAGTTTGGATTTTTTGAGTGTTGCCGCCAGAGGCGGCTAGTTTATTGTGCACCCCATACTCATCCTGTGAGCGGTGGCACAAAAAGCATTACAGAGGGCACAACAGGTCTTCATCAGACCTCAACGGAGATTATTACATAGACAATTTCATCTATCCTTTACACCCTATAATTAGTGTCAGCTAGTTACAGAGAATGTTCTATTTCAAGAGCTATATATTTACAGTAAGTCAATATACATTAATGGTAGATCTTATCGCTAATACATAATTGTTTGAACAATGGAGATATTTCAGTCATAGGAGAGCTGGGCGATATCGAAACAACTTCATTCTTGGATATCGTGCCCACTGGAAGAATATGTAGGAGTGCCGTCTGGTGGTTTAAGACTTATAGGAAGTATATACGCCCTAATTTTAGTCACCTAATCAGCCATCTAATTTAGCCATCTTGGACGGTTAATTTTAGCCGTCCGAGGTGGACTGGGACGTCCACCTCCTGGCGCTAGTGCGAGCCAGGCACTAGCCTTCAGGAGGCTGGGGTCGTTCTTGCCCTTGCTCATTTTGTTTTCCTCTTAATTTTTCATCCTCATTTCTTCCATCTTCCTCTCCCTCAGTATAACAACCCTCCTCCTCCCCCCAGCAGGAGGGGGTGGCGGCCAGGATGGTGGTGAGACTGGGACGCTGCGGCCTGCGGTGTGGCAAAGCTGTGCTTCTCGTCTTCAACCTTGTCTTCTTTGTAAGTATTATGTCTTTATTCACAGTAACGGGACAGTAAAGTCACAGTGACGGGGCTGGGACAGTAAAGTCACAGTGACGGGGCTGGGACAGTAAAGTCACAGTGACGGGGCTGGGACAGTAAAGTCACAGTGAGTGACTATGAATCTCTCACAGGAGATGGGTAATTAGTCTCTCAGGAGGCGGTATGTAATGAGTCTTTACCAGAAGGAGAATGATAATGAATCTCTCCAAGGAGAAGATGGGTAATGAATCTCTCACAGGGAGGAGATAGGTAAATCAGTCTCTCCCAGGAAAAGCAGGAAGGAAAAAGTTAATTAATTTGCGTCCCTTTTGTAAAAGATTCGACGGACACAAGTTTCAAGGCTCCTCTCCTCGACAAAGCATGAATTTAATCCCGTAACGTTCAGCTATGCACACAGCCGTTCACGGCTGTCGTCTATGGAACAGTCTTCTTGCTGCCCGCAAGCAAAAGAGAATTACCTACCTGCAGGCAGATTAAGGCAACCGCGTAATCCAATTTCGTTCCCCTGCAGCGCACGCAAGAGATAGCTTCCCTTCCTGCACCTCGCACCGGGGAGCCAACCCAATACGCTGTGGCGCCGCTGTTTTCGTTGGTCCAATTTCCTTGCAACATTGTGAGGAGAGCCTTGACTATAGATTACCTCGTCATTTGCGTCCGGGAATGAGTCCTACCCAGTTGGAGAAAGAGAGGGAAAGAGAGAAAGAGAGTGATAGAGAGACAGACAGAAAGATGAGGAAAAGGGGGGGGGGTGATGGAGAGAACTTACTGCCAATTCTTTCACTCACGACCGCTACTGTACCTGTAACCCCCTTATAAAACAGCCACTAAGTCCAGGATGCCGCGTATCTACGTCCAGTCCACCTTCACCCTTCTTCATCCAGTGTCTGATACAGCGATACACAGTTGTACGAGACCCACTTCGGTCCTTGTGTCATCTAATGGCCAATTCTTCAAGATCTTTTTGTCATTTAATGCCTATAATTCTTCAAGGTCCTTGTGTCATCTAATGCCTATAATTCGTCAAGGTTCTTACATCATCTAATGCCTATAATTCTTCAAGGTCCATTTGTCATCTAATGTCTCTAATTCTTTAAAGTTCTTTTGCCATCAAATGCCTATAATTTTTCAAGTGCGTTTCTTCATCCAATACCTGAGACACACTCATCATAAATGTTGTATCAAATGCTTGAACAATCCCACCTCCATTAGATATGGAGTGGCCCAAGTGCAAAACAAAGTAAAGGTGAAGAGCTTCGGAGTTCACTACACCAGTGCTGATAAAATGACAAAGTCGAAGAACTACAAGATGGACCTTGAGGGCAGTGTCTAGAAATAATATAGGTGATTGACAGATGGGTCTGTTCATCATTGATCAGCCTGTCCTCTCGAGCATTCACAACATCACTTAACTATTGTACTATATTGCCCGAACCTAACCTAACTGAGGACCCATAAATACTCATACACCTCCTTTGACAATGCCGATGCCGTCTGTTGAGCACACCCGACCCCAAATTATTTTAGGAGGGAAGGTGTAACAATGTCGACGCCATCTGTTGAGTGTACCCACCCCCATTTTATTTTCATCAGGAGGATGACTGTGATCTTACTGACATTTGTATAATTTCTTTCTTACTATTCATCTTTAATTCCTAAGAAGTGATGTGGGTGGAATCTTGGTCGACAGGAATCAGTTCACCCAGGGCAGTCCTGAACTCAAGACGTTTTCCAGTGGGAACAAATGGCCTAGTCAATGTAGACTGGGATTTGTCTGTGATACTTAGTGAAGAATTTATGACTCGACCGACGTATCCTGGGATGGCCAAGTTGAGTTACGATTTGGAATTAATGTCCATCTGATAAGGCTTTTTATAACTGAAGCCTGTGTGGAAGTCTGCCAATGTGTTGCTGGAGACCCCATGCCAGCATGTTGCTGGAGACCCCATGCCAGCATGTTGCTGGAGACCCCATGCCAGCATGTTGCTGGAGAGTAGAAGTGATGTTTTGGCATAGTGACGATACTGTGTAAGACTGGCCCAAGATTTACTGAGAAAGGTAAACTCAAAAGCGTGAGGATTATAAAAGACAGGCGCAGGGAAGGAAGCTTGAGTATTGTACGATGGAAGATAGGAGTGGACTCGCCGGGTTAGAAGATCGCAGACGTTCGTTTGTAGTGTCCTGTGTAAAAGTGACACCTGCAGTGTTATATTATGTACATGTGTGTATACATGATTAAGGAGGCACTTGGTGATGGTTCGGTTTAGTGTTGTTTATCCACCTTTTCCTTTAGATGGACTATTACTGGCAGTTCTTAGTAACTCAAGGTTGGACCGAGTAAGAAGAGGCATTAAATCCCCATAAAAAGTTTGATATGAAAAGAACCTGCTTACAGGCTAAGTAAAGCCATAACACCGCTTAAGTAAGACTGAAACGAGTAACATTTAGTGGGCCAGGCAGAGGCTTAGGGACCCACTCAGGAACATCCCTGAAAAAAAAAAAAAAAAAAAAAAAAGCCACACTTGTACAATGTCGCATTGAATCTTGCATGATGTTGCCCACGCATGTGTCGCATGTGCTTCAGCGCTGGCTGTAAGTTGTGATAATGGTGAGGGTTGTGATTATGGCGGTGAGGGCTTCACCTGCTTGGCAGTGCCGGAGTCGGTAGCTCTGATGGTACTGATGAAAGATTGGTAGGATGGAGTTGGTCCGTCATAAAGATGGGATTGTGATGGTTCAGTTCCAGTGTGACTGACGTGATTATGGTGGTTGGTGGCCTTAGTGGGGAGGTGGTTGTAAGTGTCTAGGCACTGGCTGTGTGGTGGTGTCATGTACATGGTGTGGTGGTTCTCTTGTTTGCGATGTTGAGGGGGTAATGATGGCGCTTGAGCAGTTCGGTGTTGTTTTGAAGCTTCTGTTATTCTGCTGTCGTGTTGGTGGAGTCAATAAGGCTGTGTTGCGCGCGAATGGCGAGCTCCCTGTGTATGTGTACTCACCAAGTTGTACTCACTTAGTTGTGCTTGTGGGGGTTGAGCTTTGGCTCTTTGGTCCCGCCTCTCAATTGTCAATCAACTGGTGTACAGATTCCTGAGCCTACTGGGCTCTATCAAATCTACACTTGAAACTGTGTATGGAGTCAGCCTCCACCACATAACTGCCTAATGCATTCCATTTGTTAACTACTCTGGCACAGAACAAAATTCTTTCTAATGTCTCTGTGGCTCATTTGGGTACGAAGTTTCTACCTGTGTCTCCTTATCCGTGTTCCACCCGTGCTAAAGAGTTTGTCTTTGTCCACCCTGTCAATTCCCCTGAGAATTTTGCAGGTGGTTATCATGTCTCCCCTTACTCTTCTGTTTTCCAGGGACGTGAAGTTCAGCTCCCGTAGCCTTTTATCGTAGCTCATACCTCTCAGTCTGTTACTAGTATGGTGGCATACCTCTGAATCTTTATAAACTTTGTCTTGTGTTTAACTAGGTATAGACTCCAGGCTGGACCTGCATACTTCAGAATTGGTCTGACGTAAGTGGTATACAAGATCCTGAACGATTCCTCTCACAAGTTTCTAAAGGCAGTTCTGATGTTGGTCAACCTAGCATATGCTGCTGGTTATATCATCTTGATGTGGGCCTCTGGGGACAGGTTCGGTGTGATATCAATCCCCAGGTCTTTCTATTTGACTCTTGCAGGATTTCACCTCCCAGATGATACCTTGTGTTTAGCCTTCAGCTCCCTTCGCCTAATTTCATTACTTTACATTTCCCTGAGTTAAACTTTAGTAGCCATTTTCTAGACCATTCCAACAGTTTGTCCATGTCATCCTGTAGTCTCTGTCTGTCTTCATTTGTCTTGATTTCTCTCATAATTTTTGCTTCATCAGCAAACATTGAGAGGAATGAGTGTATACCCCGTAAGATCGTTTACATTTATCAGAAACGGGTTGGGGTCCAAGTATAGAACCCTGTGGGACTTTGCTGGTGACATCTCGCCAATCTGATGTCTCCACCCTCACTGTTACTCGCCGTTTTCTGTTGTTTAGATACTCCCTTATCCATTGTAGCACATTACCTTTTACTCCTGCCAGTTTCTCCAACTTTTGTAACAGATGTTTGTGGGGTACTGTGTCAAAGGCTTTCTGTCAGTCTAAGAAAATGCAAGTCTGTCCATTTTATTCTTTCTTGCCTAATTTTTGTCCCCAGGTCATATATATTAAGCCTGTGAGGCACGATTTTCCATTCCTGAACCCATGCTGGTAGGGTGCTACAAATTTCTTTCCTCCAGATGTTCTACGAGCCTTTTTCTCACGATCTTCTCCCTCACCTTGCATGGTATACATGTTAGGGAAACTGGCCTGTAGTTCAGTGCCTCTTGCCTATTACCCATTTTGTATATTGGGACTACATTAGCTGTCTTCCAGGTATCAGGTAGGTCTCCTGTTTTCAGTGACCTGTTATACACCATAGAGAGTGGCACACTTAGTGCTTCTGCGCCCTCTTTTAGTATCCATGGTAAGATTCTGTCACGCCCAACAGCCTTTGTCACATTCAACTCCAACAGATTCCTTTTGACCCCATCACTGGTGAGGTCAAATTTCTCCAAGGTTGCTTGGTTTGTCACATCCTCTCTTAGTACAAAGGTTTCTCCTTGCTCTATTGTGAAGACCTGAAATCTCTTGCTCAGTTCTTCACACACCTACTTGTAATTATCTGTGTATCTGTTCTCCCCTTTTCTCAGTTTCATCACTAGTTCCTTCACTGCTGTTTTCCTCCTGATGTGGCTGTGAAGCCGTTTTGGTTGGCTCTTAGCTTTACTCGCGATGTCATTTTTATATTGTCTCTCTGCTTCTTTCCTCATGAGGTACTCATTCCTGGCCCTCTGGTATCTCTCCTGCTCTCTGGTTTTCTGTTATTCCTGCAGTGTATCAATGTAGCAACGTACTCAACAGTGAGTGGCAATATATATACAACAATGAGGTACAT